CTTTAAAATTTTGGGTCGTTACAAGGAGTCTGGACGACAACAGTGTTTTCATTGGTAGCAGAATTCATATCAGATATGGTTGTCATTGCTCTAATACCATGTAATAATTTGCAGATGAATATAAACTGTAAAGATGGAAATAATGTGATTGAATGAAGAAGATGAAGAACGGATTACTCAATTGAATCAGTGAATTCACCTTGATAATTATCACCTTTATCAGTACAAAATATATAGAAGAAAAAAAAGGGTAAAAGTGTAAAGAGAATATCCTAACAAACTATATCAGAGGAAATCTTTCTACACCTAACCATGTGGACAGCTCACGAGCTGGTGGTGGCCTCATAGGTGTTCCTCCTTATGGCATATTTACAACGCTAGCTGATAAGCTTATTCAACTATACTACTATACTACCTATTAGATAAGCTAACAAGTATGATAAGTAATTTACATAATAGATTCCAACAGATTGGCCACACATTTTTCATATACAGATAGATACAGACAAAAAATGACAAGAAATTTTTCTTTTTACTTAAATTTATGAATGGAAATGACATATGCACATAAAAGATGCAAGAAATTTAGAGAGGACATGATATTCTTGTCGCACATTTATTTTTTGTCCTAATATTGTTGTTTTTGGCGAGGACATGAAATTCTGAGATCGCCCTTTTACTTTTTAGCCAATTAGTGTAGGCAGCTTTAAATTTTTTTTTTATACGAGCCGGACACGGGCCGGCCCGAGCTTCATTTTTTTATACCTGTTGTAGACGAGTTACAATGTTCATTTTCATTGCATTTAAAACCTGAATGACAGCTTTCACGTATTTTTAAACATAAATCCAACAAAACGGGATTAAAAATTAAAACGTTCAATAGAAAGCGAATAGTTAAAATGTTAGATATTGCTGCGAATTAGTTACCATCATCATCTCAAGCTCAGTAATTACCACATGGGTGAGCTGTGCCGATATTAACTATATTAATTTTTGTCATCCTTTTGTCATTAGATGCTACAGATTAATTACCAGGAAATTAACGCATGGTAAGAAGAATGCAGTGGATATGATTTATTTTATTAAGAGTATAATTTTCGACCAACAGTTTTTGTGCATGTGAAAATCCCTAATCGGATAATTAGTTAGTAGATAATTACAAGTTACCAACTAGGTTAAATTAAGTAAGAGATAACGTAAGTTATGAATTTAAATTGCATTGATCTTAGGGATCCTTATCTTTCTCTTTTACGATTACAACATATATAGTCCCATAAAATACATGGGAAAGGAATAAAAAGTTCAAAAGAAATCCTTGGTTTTGAATGAGTACGGACGATCGTTGACTATCGTGCTCAATAAAATATTAAAAGTTAAATATAATTTGTTAAAACTAAACATATAACGTTCTATTATATATATCAACAATATTCATCAAATGATATAGTGGCCAAGTTTTGTATAATTCAAAGTAGGAGCACATGTTCGAATCTTCGCAATTGCAAAACCACTAGAACTGAACATATATTATTTTGTAACGTTTAGTGTCAACGTTCTCGAATGCCATGGTGGTCAAGTTCTCATTAATCTTAAGGAGGGCTCACATGTTTGAATCTCCTCCCTATTGAATTTGTTTTGGTGAAAATTGTAAAACTAGAAAAATTGCACAATAAATTTGTTTGAAAGACAATCGATCCCAAGGCTTCCAATTTGGATGTGGAGGCTCTAACCGAGTTATAAGATATGTTTGAAAACAAAATGAATAATCTAAACATGTTTTCTATTCTCAAAAAAAAAAAAAAAATTGTCCCAGTTTGATGCTCACCGGATGCTGGATCCACCACTATCTCTGTCCATTCCACGATCCCAATTATTATTCAGTCAAATTTCTGTGTGTTTATTCCAAATTCAAAATTTTAATATATCTTTTGTTGGCAACTTTAGGTGTAGTGTTATGCATCTATTATGCTTAAATATATTTTTAAGTTTAGTAAACTTGTTTGAATATAGAATGTGAAATTTTTTCAGCACCAGAGACTTGTATACTTTTAGTTTTAGAATGATTCCAATTGGAAAATGACCCTTTTTGAGTTATCCATCCTCTAAATTTGAAATCATATAGATTAGAGGCTCGTAAAATTTATTATAGTG